AAAATCTTGAATGAAACGGTATATTTGTTTCTTTACATGTCTAGCGACCCGTGCGGTCCACTTAGTGATGGCTTACTCATTGGATACGGACTCATTCATAAACGCGTTCGTACGAATGACTTCACGGATGGGGACGCCTACATACTTTCTATCGGATAATGGAACAAATTTTGTCGGAGCGGAAAAGGAGATGTGTCAAAAGATACGCGAATTAAATCAAGAGAAAATAGTAAAGACGACAACTCAACATCGACAAATCGAGTGGAAATTCAACCCGCCTTCCGCCTCTCACTTTGGAGGAGTTTTCGGGAGCATGATTAAGAGTGCGAAGAAGGCCATCAGAGCAATCTTAGGAGAAGCCGAAATTACAGACGAAGAGTTACACAAAGCAATTTGTGGCGCAGAAGGACTCCTAAACTCGAGACCGATCACCTATGTCAGCTAGCTCAAGTCCTAATGACTTGGTTCCACTTACTCCTAGTCATTTCCTGGTGGGACATTTAGGTGGACAGAAACCAGTCCAGAAGAAGTATTAAACCCAAAGAAGCGTTGGCGACGTATTCAACAATTGATCACGCAGTTCTGGAAAAGATGGCGTGAGGAGTTCTTACCTAGCCTCAACGTAAGGGGAAAGTGGTTTAATCCTAAGCGAGAGTTAACTGCAGGTGATGTTGTCCTATTAGTCGAGCCGAACGCAAAGCGCGTCATAGAAACATGTCGAGGCGGTGATGGACTCAGAAGAGTGGTAAAGATTCGAATTGGAGACAATGAGTATATCCGACCTGCACAGAGATTGTGCCCGTTAGAGAGAGACAATGATTTAAAGAACAATGAAGAAGAAACTTCATAAACTTTAAAACTTTAACTTTAGTTTTCGAATGTAGTCACATTCGGGAGGGAGATGTTTTGGAATGTTGACATTGTTTAAATTTAAATAAGTCCTACGCCCCCTCCCAATTAGGATAGGTAAAAAGGACTGAAAACGAACGGTCGAGCTGAGAAAAAGAGAGCATGGTCAAGGTTCTTTTGTAATGATTGTGTTCTAAAAATACAGTGTTTAAAAAGGTTGTTTATTGACTTTAAAACCACGCAAAGAATCCAAAATAGTGAAAAGTAGATCCATTCTTTATTCGACAAGTCCTATACGAGAACACATAATGTTAGTAGTTCACCATTCATTACTCGTACAAGTTTATCCATATAGATATATGTGAATAAAGTGTATTCGGATATACGTCAGCAAATATTCGAAAAGAAATTCTGTGGATAATCGTAAATGATTTTGCGCTTTGTTAGACAACTTTGCAATTGATTATATACTAAGCCAATATTCTTACAAAGGGTGATAGAATCGAGACACCTCCCTATAGTTATTTGGATCCGTCACCGCTCCACTCTCCAAGATTGGTGTGATGCTAGCTATTTCCAGAATATCTTGGGGAAGCAGGTTTTAAAAATGGAAATGCAGCACCAACTTCATTCACTATCCCAATGGCAAAGAAATTCTTCAGAAATAGTAACTGCGAAATATTTGCGGATACTTTTCTCAGATACATGATTGTTGCGCATACATGACAAATCTATTAAATATTTACACTTTTCCCCTATAATCCGAACGAATTTTTATTCAGAATCGATAAGAAATTTTTATTTCAACGCCAAAATTTTATCTGAGCGTATTAAGATATAATTTTCAAAAACTTCTGCTGTATAACAGTTTGACTGTTTAAAACGTCCTATTTTTAGGTTTTATGAAGCAAATAACAAGATGTTCATCCATTTTAATAATTCTTCTTTCAAGTTGTGTCAGCAACACATACGGTTTCTATGGCAACACACGTGCACGAAATTCACTTTTTAACACTTTGCTTTGTGTAATAGGAAAATAAGTCCTTTTTTCTGCACTATTTTACTTACAATAAGCTAACAATAAGCAAGGCTAACAGTAAGCAAGGGCTAACAATAAGCAAGAAATTACAGGCTAACAATGAGCAAGAAATTCTGCGATGGAATTTCTTTGGAAAAACACCAAAATGTCGTTTTCTTCGATGAAATTTTTTTATAATACCGATTCTAATATTTTGGGAATATTAAAAGACTTTTGTACTACTGACAATTAGTCGGCCGGCCAAGGTGGCAAAAAGTGCCTCTAAAGAGAGTTTGATGGCAACTTTATGTTAGAAGCTGGTAACAGGCATTTTCTTATAGTTCAACCCTTGGTGAATAAGACTGTGTGTGTTACCACTTCTGATTTTGGCTTTATAGCCAAATATTTGAGAATTTTAAAATTTTGCCTATTATTTTACTATTATTATTATTATCATTATTATTATTATTATTATTATTATTATTATTATTATTATTATTATTATTATTATTATTATTATTATTATTATTATTAATGGTTTAAGATACACACCTTCGCAGTAGATTGAATTATGGTGCGTTTACAAAATTAGTACGCTATATATATTTACATATATAAAAAATTAAGTTGCAGCATCAAGTCTAAAAATCTTATTGAATTGCATTAAAATCATCGTAATTAAGTATCACGCTTAATTTCTTTACTATAACTATTATACAAAGCTACTGTACTGGGTAAAAAGCTACGGCGATATCTTTCTGTTCGGCATTTTATTGTTGTTAATGTGTTAGATTTTCTAAGTTCATAATCATTTGAACTAGCCCTAGACAATGGAACATATTTTGACAGTGGTCCTTCAATTTCTATGCGTTTCATAGTATTGAGGCAATGATGTTCTCGCCTTTCATCCAATCTGGAACACCCAAGTTGTGCTAATGTTTCCCTATAAGAGTAACCCGGTAAAATGATCCTCAGCGCTGGTTTTTGCACTCGCTCTAACTCATTATCTAACGCAGGGACACCACCTCGTCGTAATATGCGGATGATATATAAACGTTTAGAAGCCTTGGATACAACTGTGTGCATTCCATTTGAGATCGTTTTGGATAACCAAACCTAGCACTTTATGAGACCGCACAACCTCAAGCGCATGACCGTCGATCAACAATGGTGATAAATCAGGTGATTCCCTCAGGAAGCAAACGCGTAGTTCTTTGCACTTTTTGGGGTTACGTTGCATTAGGTTGCACGAAGCCCAAGAATTTATAGTATCAATACAGAACTGAAACTTTGAATTTCTGCTTTTTGTGATATTTTCAGAAGTTGATATGTCATCCACAAATTTCCAAATATCCGTTGTGGTTTCACATCGAGATCATTTATCATCGCCAAAAACAGAATTGGACCGAGTTTAGTTCCCTGGGGGACACCCGCATTCATTGGCAACCAGTCTGACGTTTTCCCTGCAAGTTTGACCCGATGTCGGCGGTTAGTTAGGAAGTTAATAATCCAAGGTAACAAGGACGATCTAACACCTAGGTCCAACAGCTTTAATATTAGTAAATTATGTCCTATACGGTCAAACGCCTTTTCGAAGTCAAGGAAACAAAGTCTAAGATGTTTTTTAGGACACTCTAAGTTGCACAACCAAGTATGGATCATGTCTAAAAGACAATAAGTTGTGGATGTTCCTTTCAAGCATCCAAACTGCTTGGGGTCGATCTTGTCTTTAATATCGGTTATCATCCACCCGACCACGAAATCTTCAAGAACCTTGGCCAGGCAGGGTGTCAGTGAGATGGGTCTGGTGTCACCTTCACAGGTAGGAGGTTGTGATTTTGGAACTGGTATGATGTCTGAGTCTTTCCATATTGCAGGGACGATTCGAGATGAAAGTGATTCGTTGAAAATAGTTGCAACAGGTTCGGCTAATTCATGGGCAAACTCTTTCAGGATAGGACAGGGGACGTTATCTGGACCGTGAGCTTTAAAAGGTTTAATTTCTAAGAGCTTTTTAGATACTTCGTGTGGTTGAACTGTTGGAGCAGGTTCTTCGGCCGGAAGAAATGCCGGGAGTGTCGCTAAATTAAGTGGTGGAATGTCACTATTCACCGATGCATAGAACACATTCAAAGCTCCAACTAATTCTGATTGATCCAGGGTTCTTCCATCATGTTCAAGCGAGGAGTTCTTTCCAGATTTTCTTGCCATTTTATTTACGATTTTCCACCAACATACGGCAGTCATCCTTTTTTAAATGTTGCACCTTTGTTTTATAGTATGATATTTTCCTCGCATTGATTTCATGTTGGACCTTATATTTCAACGATTTCCACAAGATTGTATTATGACCATGAAACGCCTTTTGTCGATATTTGATAAGCTGTTTTATTGCAGGTGTTATCCATGGTTTATCTGTGTGATGACGTATTGACGTCTGTTGTGAGAAGATTCGGTCAATACTTTCTGTTAACTGGTTTGTAAACGAGACTGCCAAGCTGTCAACAGTAGGGTTTGGTTCAAGGTCACAAAACCAATTATGTGTGGTAACCCATCTTCCGAAAGCATCTATTCCTGATCTGGGATAGCGCCGTACTAAGGATTTAACAGGTTTTCCTTGGATGTTGTGGCTGGGAATGTTATCGACTGATGGTAGCCAGTGTACAATATTATGGTCACTGGACCCTAATGGAGCAAGGACATTAGGGCGGTCAAATAAATTATACAGGTTTGTAAGAATAAGATCGAGTATTGCTGATTCTCTAGTGCGTTGGTGAACAGCTTGTTTAAGATTTTGACTGGTGGTCAAACTGCGAGTTTCAAGATCATTAAAATCGCCCATAATTACTAGACCAAGATCAGGGTGGTTATTTCGAAGTAGATCAATAGTGTTAATTAAATGTTCGCTAAGATCATTGTGTTCCGATATTGTCAGACCAGGTGGGTGATACACGACACAGATAACGATACCGGATAGAGGTCTAGGGAGGCGTTTCGGTCGAATGCTCAGCCATAAGCATTCTGAATTCTCACTTTCTAGGTCTACCCGTCGTATACAGGGGATGTATTTTTTAATATAAGCACAAACTCCGCCAGTAATTTATTACGAGTAATTTATTTTTTTTAATTTCAGGTCATATGGCACCATCTTTATGACCGAAGCTCATGCAGAGAAAAAGGAACTCTCTATGCTGCGAGAAATTTGCTAGATACCAGGAATGTTACAATGGACCCTCACAATAACTTCTATGGATGCAGTGAGTTCCTTGATAAAGTATTGAGTGCATACCTTGTTTGTGGGGCATTGAATCATTTTGGCATGAAAGACATCGATGACACTCCAGAGCAAAATAACTACACTGGTGAACCAATTGACGTAAATTCAAAGAAAGAATCAGTCAACCAAGTCATCAAAAGCTTTTTAAAAGAACATGTTGTAAATAACATCCCACAAGTACCACCTCAAAGTATAGAGTCCAACAAACGGATAAGATTAATTTATTTTTCACAACCTTTGAATACCTTTTTAAATCTAGTCAGAATATATTTTTTTCCAAATAATCTTTGTCACTTTTAAAATCCCATTAAGCTGCGATGCAGCTGACTTTATTAGTTAACTCTGTCTACACCCTGACTTTATTATCGTCAAGGCAGGGGTGGAAAAAATATTTTACTTTCTGGGACCGCAAGAGAACGCTGAAAAATTTTCTGCAAATAATCAAGTAAAGCAAACAAGTAACATTAACAAGTTGTCAAACTGAATGTCATGCTATATATTAACAGACTGAGAATGGACTGAGAATCTTATAATTAGAATGTTAGAGTTTGGAATCCAAGTGAGAATATATACATTTTAAGACCTAACCAGGAACGACTGCGAAAAATGCAGCACAAGGTCCTCTGGTAGGAATTGAACCTACGGCCCTGCGATTCCGGTGCAGCG